CCCGGGTCTTGAGGCTGCGTCCATGAAAGCCGCTGTGATGACAGGAGATGGCAATCTGGAAGGCGAAGACGAGTTCGACCTTGAAGAAGAAGAGAATATTTTGCAAGATACCACATTGGCATCTGAGAAGGACCAGATCATGAAGCTCATGAAGAGCAGCACGAAGAAGAAGACAGAAGTTCAGGTCAGCGAAGCCATGCAGAAGTGCTTCGAGGACGTGGTGCAGAATCTGCCGCCGAACTTGAAGACAGCGAGAGCGAAGGCCCAGGCGAAAGCCAAGGCCCAGGCCAAGCGGGACTCCAAGAAGAAGCCCGCTGAGAAGGCCTCGTCAGCAGCAGCTCCTTCTGGCACTGGCGGCGGCACGAGGACGTACGATCCTGTGCCTGCGGAGGTAGATCGCCTCCTGCATGCATCCATCCCGATGGGAGGCAAAGTCTACACCGACGAAGACAACGGTCGGTGGAAGATTGGCTTCAGCACGGATGAGGTTCATCAGCAGCGGTCGCTAAGCTGGACGACCGCTGGAGGGCCAGCTGCGGGCCTGGCAGCACTGCGGCAGCTCTGGTCCTGGAGCGAGTTGCACTCAGGAGAAAGCATGTCGGAACAGGCCGCCAAGAATGAAGCGGCAATGATTGCCGCGAGGGAGCCTGGCCCGCAAAAGACATTTTTGTTTCTGAAATAGATCTCTTGCAGCTGGTGTTAGTGTCGATCAGTGGCATCCCGGCTAAGGACCGACAAGCTTGAGGACCGCTTTGTTTCACCCTTTCTGTTTCACGGATTTCGCAGTTTTCTAAACGTGCCGCTCTTCTGACCCTCACGAAACATCAGAAGAAGAGCCAAGGTTCGTTCTTTGTCGTAGTTGGGCACTGGTCAAGTGAGTCCAATCTGGTGGCAGAGGGTCTAATGTGTGTTAGGTTCGGTTGATGGGGGACATAGTATCCTAGGACAGCAGAAGAGGCTCATTAGAGGACCAGGCTAGTTGAGTTAATGATGCCCTGGCCGGCGTTCGTCGACGAGCACAAGCAGTCGCATCCGAGAAAGAAGCGGAACCGGCGGCATTTCACATCAGTCAAGCCTCGCAGCGTTCGCATATTGCCTGCTGCTGCTGCTGCTGCTGCCAGGCTTGAGGCTTAGCTTATTTAGATTGTGCCCCGATTATATGCCTCAGACAGTCAGTGTTTCCAAAAATAGTGCCTGCATAGCTCTTATCACCGTGTCTAGGCATTGCCCAACATACACATAGCTATCTAACTAACTGACGTTTCCGTGTGTGTTTAGAATGAGGAAGCAATCGCTGAGCAGTCTCGGCACATACTTTCCGCAGGCAGATCACTATCTGCAAACATCATGCTCCACAGGGCCTGTGAAACGTGCAAGCAGCCAGCCTCGCACAGCACATCCTTCTCCGCCACTGCTGCATATTGTATTCTGGAAGTCTCGCATGATTCAGGTAACCAGCTGCAAAGAGTATGCTAGCAGCGAGTCGGTTGTGATTGTCTTGGAGTCCAGACTCAGCATTGAAAGTGTCTCGGCTCCAGACACCTCAGAGGCTCCCAACAAGCACTTTCGCAGTGCACTCCGTCGAGGCGTCATGGAGGCAGCTCCCGAGCCAACACCGACTACTCAGCCCGCTCAGCCCATGCCGCCAAGGGTATCGGAGAAAGATGCCGTCGAAAGGTTGCGGAGCGAACTTGAACGATACTACAAGGATAGGACCGCTGAGGACTTCCAGATCAGTGTCACAGACGGAGCAGTACTTTACCGAGTCATTCGCCGCTTGGCCAAGGAGAACCAGACTCTGAAAAGCCAGTTCGAGGAACTGCAGGTCGAACTGCGGGAATGCAAGCGGCAAAAGAAAGAGGACGACAGAGCGACTCAGCTACGAGATCCCTCTGAGGAGGACACCCAGGTGCCAGACTACTACCTCGACAGCTGAGAGAGGGCCAAGTCTGTAGTTAGGTTTTCTTCCTGCGTCAGTCCAAGGTTGCTCCTAGCACAAGTGCTGAAGCCTGGTGCCGTGCAGAAAAAAGGAACGTTGAGCGAATGATGATGTTAGCTTTGCATCCTGCTGGCCTGGTTCAGCCTGCCCGACTCAGCTTCGAGCTAGGCTTTCAGGCAAGCAGGCGTCCATGACGGACCATACGATAGCAGCATTGAGGGCTGCCAAGCTGGCCTTCATGTCTTGGTACTTCTTTCAGCTGCACGTTCTCTTTGAGGATCGTCTCCATGTACTGCTGTTTTGCCGTGAGGTCGTCTGCCTCCAGTAGCACGATTTCCCAGTTGTTTGCTGCAAAGAGGTGCACATGTTTTCAGGCCACTTTTGCGGCACTAGTACTTAGTTGCTCTTCTGATTTTTTGCAGAAGTCACCGGCTCCAGACCTTCGGTTGCTGCGGGAGTCATTGTAAATGTAAGCATCGTGTTCAGCAGCTTCCGTCTTGAGCCGTGGTAGTGGTGACTTGCATGGCATTGGAAACTCTGGAACTGGACGATCGAAGCCTAAACCCGCTAAGCTTTACTTTAAACGTATGCGGGGGCTTCGAGCCCGCTGAACTTAAACCCCACATGTGTGAGAAGCACTGATACATATATGTCCGATCAACATATTTTTGCAAATGCTAGAGTTATATACCGAGAGAACCAAAGCCGAAATTGCAGCAGCAGACATTGCTGCATCCTGAACAAAAAAGCAAAATGTGTGAAAAGCGCTTCTACAAATCAGGATGAATAAGAACACAAATACAAGAAACAAACGATTACGGCGGAACACAACACTATAATAAGTAGGCTCGTGCTGTTAGTACTGCTGCGTTTGGTTTTGGCTGTGTTCTTTTTTTGGTATGTTTTGTTTCTGTTCAGAATTTTTTTTAAGGTTCTGTCCTGTCTGCAAATGGTTGAACCTATTGTTCCATAGTTTCATTGATTATTTCGCACAGTTTTTTTATTATTCCTACTACTTTTCACGGGTGTCTGGAATTTGTTTTCCACTGGCAATCGTTTCCTATGCATTTCCGAATCGTTTCCTTTGCATTTTTATTCATTTCCCTTTCAAGACTTGGTCTCGTGCAATTGGGCATGAACAGAAAGCCCACAACCGTCGAGATTATGCCCGACTCCCGTAACTCGAGCCCCGGTCCCTTCATGTTCATGCCTCATTTTCAGCCCTGGACATCAAACTGGCCAACCAAGCTTGCCGGCACCTGCATAGTTTGCGCCTCGATTTTTTTTGCGGCCAGAACAAGGGGGGGTTGGTAGAGCCGTTTTCCGAGCCCATCCTACATGCATTCGAACCCCCAAGACAACCGTACCACTCTGTCTCAGCGGACAAGTTCGCAAACTGATTCAATACCCAAAAAGAGTCAGAATATGTTAAGCATGGCCAGCCCCATAAGCAGCAAGATATCCAAAGAACAGCAATGAAACGATCATTTGTTTTTGCAGGGCCCAAAATTGTTTTTCAAATGGTGCGAAATGACATTCTCTAACCACGAGGCTGAGACCCAAAAATGACGATGACAGTCCAAGCAGTCTTCGCCACCAAATGGTCTTCCCCAGTTGGTCCTCCCAATTGCTGCGGATAAGCTTTGGGACCAAAACCCCGGAACCACAGAGACGACTACCATTTCTGAAAACAAGCCTTCCAGTTCCCAATCGCCTCGAAAAAGACGGCGAGATGTCTCTCCATGAAAGCCGAGATCATGCATTTAATTAGGTTTGCCAGTCTTTTCACTGGCCACATTCATTAACAGCATGTCCTGTGCATACCCAATTATTGGGATGCTAAGTAATGCTCCTTTTCACTATCTAACTGAGCTTTTGTGCCCTAAGGGCTGCCCCGTTCGCGGGGTGTGTGTGTGTGTGGAACACCTGTTTGCCAAGGTTTGCTCACATGCAGTATATCTTCTGCAGGGGGTACGGCTCTCTGATGCTACCGTACCCAACGAAGCTATGCATCAGAGAGGGAAGCCAAGCCTGATCAGCTTGGTGTACCTGCAAGTGTTTCTGCAAGTGTGATGGCCCGGGGCTAAGCCTAGAACCCCAATAAATGTGTTAAATGTGTTTGATGTTACTGCCTAGTGGCTTAAAATCATTTACCTTTATGTTGAAAGACTGAGTTCCGACAATTACCATCAGTCCAGAGGGAGGATTGCACGAGTGTGTGCAATTTGCGAAGGTGCATGTGTCAGGTGTGCAGTTGCCGGCTCTGTCGATTTGCTTTTGTGTTGTTGTTTTCAAGAACGTTCTGAACACCCCGGATTCAAGAGTCTCGGGATGCCTGTCCAGTTGGATACTGGTTCCGAGCTTGGAAAGTGTATCACATCTATTCCAAGCCTTGGACATTTGCCGCGCGATCACCCTGGAACTACTCGCCCCCTGTTGAGCCTGCACCATCACTGCGTGGCAAGCGCCATCCTCAGGGGCTGTCTGTGGACGTCGGGGCCCGTGTTGCACGTGGGAATGCACGCTTCAGGCCTTAGGTCTTACATGGTATCAGTCCAGAAGCCGAGCTTTCTTGGGAGTGCATCAGATGACGCCATGGCTGAATCTGAAGAACGCAGGTCCATCCGTCACCGATCCCATCTGAAACCATGCTTTCGAAGCAACTTTCCGCTAGACGACAAAGCTCGCTACACAAAGGCCAAGACACTGCGAGGTTCCAGACTAAGCAGCTTACTTTATGCTTACATGCACAACAAAGGGACCACTCTAACTTAGTGGCCGTGCTTGCATGTTTTCGCGGTGTGCAAAGTAGCATGTAGCATTTGCGGCTATGTTGACAGGGTGGTCCGCTCCAGCGGTCCGGAGTCTGATCAGAGCCATCAGGGTTCTTAAAACTTTAAAGTCTCTTTTGAAGCAGAAAATCGAACCACATAGCATAGCTCCATCTATGCCTTTGTAGCCAGCGTGTGTCTTCAACAATTCATCGCCCTTGGGCATTGTGCTACATCGGCATCGTCACCTTCCAAGATATACCTTGATCGTGCTCTACCACGGCTACCAGGTACCGCTTTTGCTGGGCCATGTGACCAATACCGACGTCAGAGCCAGACAGGCAAAGCTGCAAAGCCGGAGACGGTGCCTAGAAGTCTGTAATCACGTGTCAGATGGGAGTCAGCCATTGTCAGACTGTGCAAGAATGGGGTTCTAAGTTCTAAGTATCGAAGCACCCCTCTTGAGAAACGTGGTCCTGCGTCCCGGTGCCAGATCTCACTGGTGTGCTTGGGCTACTTGTGCGAAGACCTGGTGATCGTGCAGGAGGAGCTGGTCTCTGTAGCCAGCCGGCAGTTAGTTTGTAGTTGCGTGTTTGACTTTTTGCAGGAGGGGACCAATATCGGGGATGATATTGCCAACAACATCCTCACGGCTGTGACGGGCTTGGGCCGCCTGCATGGGCTTTCGTCCGTCTGGACTCCGCTCTTCTCAGGTTGTTCAGGGAATGCGGGACACCGAGCCGCAGACGAAGCTGGAGGCCTCCGCCGGGGCAAGCACCGCCCAAGCCGCACAAGCGCACGAGTCGCGCGAGGCTCGTTCGCCCTGACATGCGCCAGGCGACTCGAGCATTTTATCACGCGGTGGTGCTGGCAAAGAGGTCTCCACTTGCCTGCATGCTTTCTGCTTATGCTGTGCTACTCCCGAGGAACTTCAAGAACCAAGTGGAGCGCGACGTGATTATGGGCGTCCTCCCAGCAGAATTTATTTGTGATTTCGCATGAATAGCAGACGGTAGACCGTTTCTGCAGTAGGCCACCAGTCACTAGTCACAGTCGGCGCAACTACTGCCATCGCGTCGTCGTGGGTGGTGGGTTAGCGCAGTAGTTATTGCAGAGCATGCACATCACGGCAGCGCAGGATGCCGTCTCATGAAGTGAAGTGTAGCAGACAACGTTGGTGGCCTTATCGAGGTCATGCGTGGAAGTAAGGAGTCAGGATGCAGAGTCGCCGAAGGTTGAGCCGGCTCTTGTGCTGTACAGGTCGTGAATGAAACCTGCCGCTGCAACACGGCACCCGAAGTGAGGTCCTTGAGTCCTTGAGGTCGTGCCTCTCTGTGCTCGGCTTGTGTCGCTGTTGCCCAGGTCCAGATCGCAGCCTTTGAGTGCCTCGTGCAGATTGCAACGGAGTGACCCTGCAGTTCTCGTGCTTGCTGATGCCGGAAGGCTTGCAGAGACTCCCGGTAGCCGGATGGCTTGAGGTACTACGACTTCCTCATGCCGTGCCCCTCCCACAACCTGCGGTTGCAAGTGACTTGCCTTGCATGCATGAGCAGGTACATGAACGGCTTGGGCCCTCTGACATGGGAAACCATCAAGTCATCTCCAGAAAAGGCGCGAAGACTCTGTGGCAGACTCTCAGAAGGCCAAGGCTCAGCAAAAGCAAAGCCCGGAGGTGGCGATTCCAGCCATGGAGTTCTGGTCCACGATCTGCGACGAGGCGCGCGCAGTGGTTCACGCTCCCACACTCGCTCCCTCTTGGGCGGCACGAGCGCAGCGCTCACGCTCACGCTCACGCTCGCAGCTCGCTCCTGAGGAGCTCTACTTGATGGATTTGGTGGAGGCAGGCCAAGCGGCCGGCCGCGCTTCCCTGAACCTCATCCAGCAGGTGTGGGCAAAGGGCGCAGGGATGCACTGGGTGGGAGTCTCGAACTGCTATGGAAAGTCGTGACGGCCTCGCACAACGGCTGCGGAAGAGTAGCATCGATGCCCTGCAGCAGAGCCCAGCAGTTTTCGATCCGTTTGGGCCTGGCGCCACGTCCTCGCATCTGCAAACGAACCTTCCCGCCATGGGCCTGACGTCTCAGTGAGCATTGCACGAAACGAGCGAAATGCAGAGTGCCCGAGGCCCTGCAACAACACACGCCCGAGTACATAATACGTTCCTGTGGGGACAAGTTCAAGGCGGTTGTCACCAACGTGTTTCTTCTCCAGGCCCTGAGCTTCCTGGTGCCGCTCCTCACCGAGCTGGTGCCCAAGAACCGGCTCCCCCGCAGCTCTGCCTCCCCATCTGTCCCTGCTACTTCCTATCCCTCCTTGCCTTCTTTAGAGGACGCTGACGAAGCGCCAGAGCGAGGACGACGACGACACCTGGAACCTGGCAATGGCCGCAGGCCGCGCTGTGCCTGGCGCTTCTCGGGACCCTCGTCCCTTCACGGACCTTCTTCTTCTTCTTCTTCTGCTCTCTCTCTCTCTCTCTCTCTCTCTCTCTCTCCCTGTTCAATGCCACGAGCCCAATGTGCACCCGAATGTTCTTGATGCATTATAGAATGTTACGATGCCGAATGGCATTGGCTCAAGACTGGACCGAGGCTTGACGTCACAAAGGAATGTCTGCTTGATTGTGAGTGGGGAAAGTGATTGATCTTGGTTTCTCTGTACGACTGTATTGCACTGTTGAATTTTTCATGGGAGCGGAGCTTCGGCTCTGGAATCAGGGACTGAGACAGAATGGAGTTTGGAACCAGAGGGATTGGCGGAGAGATCAAACTGTTCCCACCACCAGTGTATCATGGAGAGCTTGAGAAAGGGGAAGACTGGTCGTGGCAGTTGAAGCGATATGTAGGATTGTACAAACCACTGGCAAAACTGTTAATGGACGATGTGGAAGGATCGAATGTTGCCATCACCGGCGATCTGTGTGAGGCGTTCAATGTGCGACAGAATCGCACCCAGAATGATCAGCTTTCACTGTTCCCTAGACAATTGGCGTACATGCTGGCACAAATCACTGATGGCTCAGCGCGAGCGATTGTGCGCAATGAGGACACAGAGAATGGGTTTGAGATTTGGAGGCGATTGCATAGTCAGTTTTCAGAGGGAGAGAGCCTGATCTACGAATCTTCTGAATGAGATCATTGGCTTCCGATTGAGAGGAGACCACTTGGAGAGTGATCTGAGTGAGTTTATCATACTGAAAAAACAGACATGAGAAGACGACTGGAAGACCGCTTGACAATGACCTGCTTGTCATGTTGCTAGTGCAGAAGACTGTTGGTCCTTTGCAGCGGCATTTGAGGTTGAATGTCAGGAGTATCAACACGTTCAATGAAGCACTGGAAATCATGTACAGTTGCACCAGGAGCAGACACCTGACTGTCCCGAGTGGTAGGAATGACCACCATGGTCCAGCGGATATGGATATAGGAGCATTGACGGGAAGGAAAGGAATGAAAGGAAAAGGTTACAAAGGAGGAAAAGGAATGAAAGGATTCAAAGGCAAAGGCTACAAGGGCAAAGGGATGTACAAAGGAAAAGGAAAGAGCAAAGGAAAAGGAAAAGGAATAGGAATGAAAGGAAAAGGAAAAGGACAAGGATGTTTTCTGCGTGGTGATCCAAGCCACCGGAGCAAGGAATGCCCGAAAGGGAAAGGAAAAATGTCCGCAGTGACGGAAGATGAGCAAGGAAATGGAATGGAATGGAATGGCAAGATGACTGGAACCAGTGGAATCAGGATGACTGGTCATATGATGATTGGTCCCTGGAAGAACAGGATTGGAATGGTGAGTGGATTGGTGCTGTCGATGATTGGTCTGGTGACTGCTCTTGGTGCGAGGACGACTGGAGTTCTTGGCCTGAGGACTGGTCCTGGGAAGGGTTAGGGGTTTAGGGTTTAGGGTTTAGGGGTTTAGAGTTTAGGGGTTTAGGGGTTTGGGGGTTTAGGGCAGTCAGGAATGGTGGAGCCCTGCGGAGAATCAGCCACAGAGCTCGAATGGTGCCGCGAGCTGTCCCTCAGGAGGCCGCCGAGAATGAACCACCACAGAATGTGTCAGCTGTGACTGCTGACTCGATCAGAGTGCGCCCATCGAACTGTTCGGGGAACCAAGCCCGGACTGATGACGAACTTGTTCGTTGGAGCGTGCTTGTTGATTGGTGCATTGAGTTCCGGAGTGCCACCAATGCCGAACCATAGTATGCCAAACTTGAAGAGACTGCCTGTGAATGATTCGAATGGTTTCGACGACAGCTTGGTTGAGTTTCACATGCAAGCTGGACTGGTCGATAAGGCCTGGATATTGTTCGACAGTGGAGCTTGCGCGAAGTGTTGTCCTGAATGGTTTGCGACGGACTACCCGACGCTGCCGTTGAATGAAAGTGCACCTTCACTGCGAAGCTTGTCAGGAAAGACACTGGATGTGCAAGGCAGGAAGATTGTGCAGCTTGACTGTGGTAATGGCCATTCGTTGAGTGTCCAGTTCTATGTTTGTGCTGAAATACCGTTTCCACTGGTCAGTGTTGCCCGACTGTTGCTACAAGATTTCTGGACTGTAATGGCGAAAGACTACATGGCTTTGATTGACCCGACTGGCAAGATTGTGCGACGAGGGACACTGGTGTACTTGACACCGACTGTGATTCCCTACGAAGTTGCAAATGCGGAAAGATTGGCAGCAATGTGCTTACGAGAGGTAATGTCGGGAGTTGAGGAAGAGTTTGGTGCCTTGGGACTGCGTGGGGTGTCTGACGCGCATGACTGCTCGATTGACCACCTCTGCCAGATTGGTGCCTTGATTGCTTCAGCTCAAGGAATGAAGTCCTCGGAAGGAGGAAGACAGGACACCTGGGAGGTGAATGAATCTGCGTTGAAGTTGATTCGCCATGTGAAGGTTTGGAGGAATGAGATGTTGGACCCTCGGGTCAAACTGGCAAATCGAATGCCAGTTCCTGTGCTTCGTCTCACTGGTGAGAGACTGACGTACAAGATCTACCGGGATGGTTCGACTGTCACTGTTAGGGACGAATACCAGGCCGCGTGATGAAAGAGATTGGCGAGGACGAGTGGAATTTGGACTGACGCACAAACCTCACCGCAGGCATGCGCAAAACAGTGCACCATGTCCTCATGATCCGATGGTTGGCAGAATGCCTCCACCGGCGAATGCTGACCTTGCCGAAATGGAGCAGAGTGAAGACAATGCTCCAAAGGTCCGAGCCAAGACCGGTGAAGAGCCAGAAGAATTGGATCGCAAGGTGCGTGTGAGTCGGAATGTTTAGGAACACGAGCTTGAGAATGCATTGCGGTCACTGCCTCAACATGGAGAGAAAATGAAGGAGTTGCTGTTGAGACTGTTCAATCTCGAGGATCCCGAGACTGCAGCACAAAGGACTGCAGATAGAGGGATCAGTCTTCCTCGATATTGGAGAAGAATGCATCATGAAGTGCGTGATTGCTACTTCCATCCGGCGATGCGAGTTCTCCCGTTGATGGATTGTTGAGTGATCACTTGTGGGGTGACAGGTACACAATGTTCTGTGACTCGAGTGATCCCAAAATGATTGACGCTGGTCATCAAAATCAATGGGCAGACATCGAACTGCCTGATGGATCGGTGAAGAAATGTGAGGATCCACGGAGTTCCACTGGACACCAGTGGACTACTGCTGGTGAGAATGCCGAGCAACAGGAGTGCATTGAAGCCGAAAATGCTGAAGGTTTCTGGAGAACCCTCAGAGAATGAACTGCGATTGCACGAACTGACTCCCGTACAGGGATTGGCGTGAGCACTTTGTGAAGTCGAAAGGAAGACAGAGTCATGCAGTGAAGAAGAAGAAGAATTGATCGACAGCCTGTGATCCAGATTGATTTCTCCTTTATGTCGACTGAGAATGACCTTCCTAAGCGGACCGTCTTGAATGCCACGGATGTCCAGACTGGATATTCAATGGCTGTCGTATTGCCTTCGAAGGGAAGTGTCGAGAAATATGGAGTTGCCGAATTGAGGAAATTTGTGTTTGAGATTGGCCGCACGTTTGGGATTATCCAATATGACAAGGAAGCGCCACTGAAGACAATGGCGGAGGAATGTCCATGAGAGCCGCGCCGACTGGACATTCCCAGAGTCAAGGGAATGCTGGAAATGCCCAGCGAACTCTATATGGCCAATTGAGGACACTGCTGTCTCAGTTGGAGGAATCTACTGGAACGAAGGTGAGCTCGGAATCTCCAATGTTCACCTGGAGTGTGAAACATGCTCAGAAGGTAAGACTGCCTACAGCCGTCGATGGGGCCGTGAGTACGATGGAGCACTGTGCATGTTTGGTGAACTGACTGATGCAAAGGCGCCTGTGAGGGGAAAGGTGCATGTCCCCAAGGCTGGATCCCAATGGTTCACTGGAGTGTATCTTGGAAAGGACACTGAAGCCGATGAGGTTGTGCTCGGGAATGCTAATGGAGTCTACAAGGTCAGGACTGTGAAGAGAAGATCACCTTCTCAACAATGGAATGCATCGTATGTCATGAAAATGATCTCCACACCTTGGCAGCCGCGAGGAGATGGAGTTGAATCGATTGCGTTTGTAATGCCACCAGATCTTGGAGTGAAGGGCAGAGTGAAGCCTCCTCCTGGACTGGAAAGTGTTGAAGAAGAAGCTGATGGGAATGTTGAGCTTGAAGACACGTTGCCTGGTCAGAGTGAAATTGTCACTGAGCAGGATCTGTTGCTTCAAGACGGCAATGACAGATCAGCTGCTGAAGTGGATCATGATGCACCTGAGGCGACTGGAGAGCCTCTCAGAAGGAGTGCGAGGATTGATCCAGATGCACCTGTGACTGAGCCGTCGACGAAGCAAATGAGGATTTCTGCCGTGCGTCACATGATTGCCGGAGTGATCCCTGCTTGCAAATGGATTGCGTCGATTGTTGGAGTTGACGAAGTTGTTGGCAAGGATGGAACGAAGATTGGTGTAGAAGTGAATGCCGAGGAAGGCGAACTCGACCTAGAAATGCGGCTCTCCGAGCCACAGCTGTGGGAGAGTGAGTTTCCGCCTGAGGCCGAAAAGAAAGGAATGATGAAGGAGATAAATTCAATGAAGAATTTCGATGTATATGATGAAGTGAAGGTTGATGACTGCACACAAGAGCAGATTGATGGTGCCCTTGACTGTCGATGTGTCAAGGTTTGGAAGAGTGAAGATGAGCTGAGGTGCAGAGTGGTTGTGAGAAGTTGTTTTCAACATGTCGAGAAGAGTGAAGAGGACAACTTGTTTGCTTCCACGCCTTCACTGGTCACAATGAGATTGCTTCTCGGTATGGCACTGGCAAGGAATTGGGGCATCACAATGGGTGATGTCAGCACGCCTTGCATGATGAATGCACCGAAAGAATTCTACCCTGACGGGAGATGCCTTTGGCGATTGAAGAAGGCAATGTATGGCCTTCGATAGGAGCCAAGACAGTGGCAAGAACACTTTGCTGATGTAATGACGACGAAACTGGGATTTCGGAGATGCAAGAGTGACCCGAATCTTTACTGCTTGCATATGTTGATGATTTGTTGGTCGTAGGGACTGACGAAATGAGGAAATCCTTTATGTCACAACTGTCGGAGGAAATGTTGCTGAAAGAGGCTAGCCAACTGGTGCCAGGAAGTGAGCGCACTTTCTTGGGACGACGACTGCGACATAATGGTGATTCGATTGACGTGTGTGCGTGTGTGTGTGTGTGTGTCACAGAAGTACATTGATGCGATTCTTGATTTGTGTGGAATGCAGGATGCCAAACCTGTGGCGACGACTGGAACTGTTACCATCTCCAAACCGTTCCAGCTATGCCACTGAGTCTTGAAGAGTACAAAGTGTATAGGACTGCGGTTGGCAAACTACTTTGGCTAGCACTGGTTCGTGGAGATATTGCATATGCGACGAAAGAGCTGGGTCGGGATGTGACTGCACCGATAATGCAAAGTGTCGCTAAATGCAAACATCTGCCGCGTTTTTTGACTGCTACGAAAATGTGTGTGCTGAGACTGCAACCGTCGTATCAACTGGCGGATGGCAATTGTGCTGTGGGCATCAATGTCTATGTGGATTCCGATTGGGCTGGCTGCTCTCGCACGCGGAAGAGCGCTAGTGGTTCCACTGTGAATGTCCTTGGTTGCAATGTTGTGAGCACTGCCAGGACGCAAGGAACACTGGCACTGTCATCTGGTGAAGCAGAGTTGTATGCGATTGGTCAAGGAGTGTCTGAAGCACTGTTTGTCCGATCAATGCTGTTGGAATCCAAGCTAGCGAAGAAGGTGAGTGTGATTGCTCATACCGACAGCGCTGCAGGAAAGTCAATGGCTGCTCGTTATGGCACTGGAAAGAAAACAAAGCATGTGGAACTGAGATTCCTTTATGTCCAGAATCTGGTGCAAATGGGCCTACTGAGGATGGCTAAGATTGATGGTACGCGGAATCCCGCGGATATAATGACCAAATATGTTGCAACTGATGTGTTGCAGCGACTGAAGGCACATATTGGTGTTGTGTCGAATTGGGTCAAGGATCTCGCCACTGATGCTCATGATACTGATGATCATGTTGCTCCTGTGGTGAATGCTCAATGGCCACCTTTCTCCCACCCACCGCCCTACTGGGAATGGCCCGCGCACCCCTCCTGTGCCCGCCCTCGTGCGCGTCCCGAATGTACCCACTGTGCGCAAGTATGCTTCTCTGAACGCCGTTGGACTGAAGTCCACGCCGAGGGACTGTGTAGGTGAGTTGCAGTGAATGCATTGCAGGTTCGGGTTGCGCATGTCACGCTGTTGTTCTGTCTAGTGTAAAGTGAATGCAGCAGCTGCTGTCATGACTGCATGTGCAATGTTCACTTGTCTTGTCATGTCGGCGTGTGCAATGTTTCAATTTTGCCCGAAAACCCCAAAACCAAAGAAAGAGAAAGTTGAGAGAATGAGAGAATATTTCCCGCAATGTTTTCTCCGATTTTTTCCCGGTCCCGAAGGGACTGTGCCGAAATGCTGCCGATTCACCGATTTGCCGAAGTGGCCGATTGTTTCCGATTGTTTTTCCCGATAGAGTGCTAGTGAGATTGCATGTACACTGTGCAATGCAAGGGACTGCCTTAGGTCCATGTGTTGCCGACTGACATCAATGTGTTTCCCCTGAAATGTTTTTTGCTGAATGTTCCTCAGTGACATCGACTGACTGTAGTGTAGATTGCTTCCTTCGCTCGCCCGGCTGTAGAAGCAATGGCCCCCAAGAATGTTGCCGTTGAGCGAGTGAGAATGGAGCCACTGCCGGAGCACATGTATGAGGCGATCACTGCCGAGCAACTGATAATGGATGTTGCTGCTTTCAGTGACCTCACTGAGGATGCGGTCCGAATGTCCCGGAGGATCGTAAGGACTTGCAGCGACTGGCGCAGGGACTGACAATGAACCGCCCTCCTGCGGACCCGCCACTGGCGAATGATCCCGCGACGGGGCCTGCGGCGAGCGATGCTGCTCTGGGCATCAATGTCAGGAATGGCACAGAGCTTGGAGTGCTGCCTGGACCTCACCGAGCCTGTGACTGTTGAGGTTTCCGCCGCCTTGACTGCGATGGATGTGGAGTTGAGCTCACCAGAGTGTGGAATGGGCTTGACAACTACATCACCACTGTCGTGGAGAATGACCGCCAACGAGTGGTTGAAAGGGCGAATGATGTCGCTGCTCGAATGCTTCGTGCCCAAAGGAATCTGGGCGAGGCTCTCAACAAGAGAGAGTGGAATGAGGACACTGCCCCAATGATCAGCGTTCTTTTGCCTGGAACGAGAAGTGGTGGAACGACTGCGTGCAGATTCGACCACCCGGACCAGCATTCGAATGGTCCAATGAGCTCGTTGAGAACGCGAATGCATTCTCTCAACATCCAGACTCAGTCCAATGGCCCGAACAACTGGATGATTGAAACGAGCTGGACTCAAATGACGAAGGCTGGGCGACTGTTCCTTACCAAAGGAAACTGGCATGTGGAATGGCGATCTCCTCACTGTGCGAAGGAGAATGCCACTGACGCCCTGGTGAATGTCTATGACTGACTTTGCCTCCCACTGTCGTTGGCAATGGGACTGTATACCAATGGTGTGCTAGATCTGGCAACTCAGTGCATTGAGGAAGACTGTCCAATGGGCAAAACAAGGTGTTTTCGAGGAGAGTGAGAATGAAGAGCCGATTGCCTTCGTGGTGTTCTGCCGCACCAAGATTGGTGCAATGAGGCGATGGGTTGCTGGCGGACCGGGCGGCAATGCCCGAATGAAACTGTCGAATTACTTCAACCGACAGTTCACTGACCACATCAGCACCTTCGAGTGGGATGGCAATGGTCCTGATGACTGGAAGTGGACGCTGGAGGCACTGTCTCACGCAAGTGCCGGGATTGTCCGTGTTCCAATGACGGACCCAATGTGCGTTCGCAGCCCCACGCTGCTGCTGTCCTTGAATGAAATCATGGAGTGGGGAATCCCTGCTGGAATGGAGGCTAATGGGACACACAATGATCCCACTGTGCCAAAGCATTGGTGCAGGATTGGAGCACGATTGCTCCACATGGAATGAGATCTACGAGAGTGAAGAGCATGTTGCACCCACTGCCTGGAATGCTCCCAAGGGCAAGGTGAACGACCAAGCCGTCGGGAATGCTCTCGCTCGGACTGCGAATGCCCTCGAGCCCGGCTCCGAGATTGTCCTGCGCAAGAATGCGAAGGGCAATGTGAAGTGAACACACTGAGCAGCCGAGAAAATTTAGGAGTGCCTTGTGATTGCGATTGTTCTGCAATGTGAAGTTCCTTCTGAAATGTTGAATGGATTTCTTCAAGGGTTTTCTGAGAATGAAGTTTTCGGATTCAATCGAATAGAGCATGAGCCGACTGTTTGCAATGATCACTTTGTACAGTGCATCCCGGCCTCCGAATGCCGCTTTGCTACGATTCGAATGTCATCACTGAGTCGAGCCAAAAGTCCGGAATGAGACCAATCATCCTTTCGCTGCCTTGATTGTTGATTGTTCCAACTGTTTTCGATCGCTTCGCGAATGCCACCACCTATGCTCGTTTGTTTTGTTTGGAGTGATCTTCGACTGACGTCAAGATCAAGGGACTGTGTTAAATGCACGAACCCAATGCGCACCCGAATGTTCTTGATGCATTATAGAATGCTACGATGCCGAATGGCATTGGCTCAAGACTGGACCGAGGCTAGACGTCACAAAGGAATGTCTGCTTGATGGTGAGTGGGGAAAGTGATTGATCTTGGCTTCTCTCTACGACTGTATTGCACTGTTGAATTTTCCACTCCCTGTCTCCCACCCTCCCTCCCAGTCTCTTTCTTTCTCTCTTGCTGTTTTTCTCTCCCTCTTGCCTGCGGGAGAGTGCGTCGGTTTCAGGCACCTGCTTGGCGCTGGTGGCGCAGGCAGGGGCTCGTTGGCCCATGCACGCGACGAGCACGCGCTTTGCAGCCTTGGGCCTTCGGCAGGTAGTCAGGGACGGCTGCGTGGACCTGGTGCTGCAGTTTGTGCACACCAACTTCCAGAATCCTGATTGGAAGCCCCTTCCCGAACTGATTCCTCCGGTGCACAGTGGCAGTATACACTCTCGCAGCAGCACTGCAGGTTTAGAGAAGCAGCGGTCTTGGCATACGGCTCCATCATGGAGGCCTGGGCATTTCAGGCTCGTTTTCCGCAAGATCTGCATCCGGGACACAGGGACCGACCAGTGAGAAAATGAGACCGATGGTCGAGCAGAGTTTGAGCCACCTGGCTGTGGCCCCAGACTTTCGCGGCGCGTCGTGTAGTGCACCTCTTGCACCTCTCCCCTCTTTTTCGCCTGAAACCTCAGGTCCTCGCTCTGCAGGATCAAAGTGTAGCGGTTCGTCTGGGCCCACGGAGCCTTTGTGGTGCTTGCGACTCTGCTGTTGCTCTGTTGCTTTGCACCAGGCGACACCATCGCGTGGACGTTGGGCCGTATTGCCCAGCCGGGCCCTCTGTGTGATGATGTCGGGACCGTGATTGTGCCGGCAGTGCTTGGTTCTTTGGCAGGTTCCATCCCACCATAGTTCCAGTCAAGCAGCTCATGCCGCTCCTTTGTGAGAGGCAGGGGCTTCCCTGCCACATCGCAGAATGCGCCATTCCGTGCTCCGTTTGCGTGGAGCCCGGCAGGCTGCGGGATGTCCCGCGAGTCTCTGCCAACATCTGCTGGAACGTGCAGGCCAGGCTGGACTGAAACTGAACAGTGCTGCGCCCAGGGCACCGGAGCCAAGTTGCCAAGTTTGCCACGCGCAATTCTTTGCGCAGAGTGCCGGTCGCAAGCCTGACGCTAGGTCCTAGGTGCTCAATGACGTAGGACGTAGCGGATCGTAGAGGATGGAGGTGCCGATATGTGCCGATCGGAGCTTGCGAAGGCGGTAGCCTGCCACGATGATCCCTCCGCCCCCATTGCTGGGAGGCAAACCTTTCGCCACCCGTACCCAGGATTTCGCTGAGACGAAGGAGGGCCAGGGCCAGGGCCCCACGCCGAAGCCGCCCAGCGACAGCTCCTGGGAGACTTCGACCTGCACCCCCACGCCGAGCAAGAGCACCAAGAGCGAGAGTTGGAGCATCAAAGGAAGCTCCAAGAGCCAGGAAGGGAGCCGGAGCCCCCCAGAGGGCAGCGCTAGTGGTACTGGTAGCGGCAGCGCTCCGAAGAGGCCCAAGCTGAGATACTACACCCGCCAGGGCCGACAGCGCCTGCTTCGTCGAGCCCACGCTCTCTTCTGCCGCAGCTGGACGCTTGCGCTTGCTGCCCTGCTCGGAACGGCGGGCGCGGTCATTGTGGCTCGGCTGCATGAAAAAAGATGAAAGAAGCAGCAGAGGCATAATCATTCGAATCATATAATCACGTCGTTTTGGCAAAAGGACTGCTGAGGTCTTCGTGGGACTCGCGGATCTGCTGGCGCTGTCTTCCGTGGCACAGGGCGTATGCGTGTTGGCAGGCTTCGAGTACCCAGACGGGTATCCAGACCAAGAGAGGGCACCAAATCGGACGTTCTCCTTGCACCCGTGCCCGACCACTCCAAATTGTCTGTTTCAGGTGGATGTCAGGCTCACCACTGGGCTTCGACGGGCACGCTTCTTTCAGCCGCCCTTCGAGATCCCTTCCCACGCAACGCCGGGCGAAGCTTACACCGAACTGCCGCTTCCTGGGGGTCTCAGCTGTTGTCCTTACACCCCCATGGGCTGCTGCGACTGGTACAACACACAGACGCGGCTTTTCTGTGACTCCGATGCCGAGCTTGCGGGCGTGGGCGGCTGCTCCAACTTGACGACTCCCTGGCCGTGCTTTCTTCGCGAGCTTGCACCCCCTCCGGCATCCAGCGATTTCTTTCTGTCGCAGTTCCAGCTCGATGGGGCACAATTGGAGGTTGGCAGCAAGTGGCGCTCGGCGTTTCTTGTGCTGGAGGGCTCTCTGGTCGCTTTGGCAGGGCTCCTCCTGCACACGATCTTTGTGAGGCCATCGGTCCGCGGGAGGGTGGACGCCTGCTCCACGCACGTGCTCCGGCGCCTGGAGCGGCGCGTGAACGGCTTCGTGCTGGCGCTCGCGAAGCGCCTGCCCCGGTGCCTCCGCAGCGAGGCGGCGACGGAGCTCCTCTGGCAGAGCGAGGCGGCGACGCTCCTGCAGCGGGCCTGGCGACGAAGGCAGCAGAGGAGGCGGCGGAGGCGGAGGCTCTCCATGGCCGAGGCCGTTGCGGCCCTGGCCATGGAGCGCCGCAGGACGCGACCGACGCGGCGGAGAGATTTGCGGCTCTGGCTCTCGGATTCTCTTGGCCGTTGCTGCTGCGCAGGAGCAGCGTCCTCCTGGCCCAGAACCGAGAGTCGGGGCTCCTTGCTGTGCCGCCGCGCACCCAATCTCCCCCCATCTGGGATCCTTTTGAAAAGAAAGCGCCTGGAGCTGCTTGCGCGCCGAGCCGAGGCAAGACGCGACCTGTTCATGGAGATCCTCGGTGAGCTCCGGTGCTTCTTCCGAGGCCACATCCAAGAGCACCCGAAAGCGCACCGGCGAGCGCGGCGAGCGCGGGGCCGTCGCGTCGAGGAGCGAGAAGGGCGGGCCGCGACCACGGGGGGCGGGGGGGGCCCCAAGGCAAGGAGCCCGGAGATTTCAGAGGTGGAGTCCGGGGCCGTAGAGTCTCGGCGATTCTTGGCGAGGGTCTGCTGTCAAAGAAACCACCGCCCTCAGCCAGGAACAGGCCCGGCTCCAAGAAGAAGCGAGAGTTTCAGACCGTCTCCTCACGGCAGGAGGCTGCTGTTGGACAGCGGGCGCGCCGTGCCCAGCGTCGTGAGCTGCGTGGAGCTCCGCTTCGGAGCTGCGGAGCTCTGTCCCCGGGCAGGAGCCTCCAAAATTTCCGCCGCTTCGTCCGCGTGCGAGCCGGGACCTCAAAGGCCGCTCGGCCGCTCAGGCCGGAGACAGAGCCGTATATTCCGAGCTGCTTGGAGCAGAGGTGGCGAGCTCTCCCTGGGAGCGGCTGCGCTTGGAGGCGCTTGGAGAAGCCTGAGAGCGCAGAGCGAGCGCCAGGAGAGCGCCAAGGGCCAAGGGATCACTGCGTCGTCCCTTTGCTCTCAGATGGTCCTGGAGCCGGGGGCGCCTTCCTTGGGCCTGGTGGCCGCAAGCCAAGTGCAAAAACAGAGGACCGGAAGTCGCGGAAGTACGATTCCTCCGTACCCAATCGCAAGGGTTGACATGTGCATTAATTATAACTGTAGGAGTCGCGCAGCAAATTGAAGCCAACACCTGTAGACACACGATCCCTTCGTTCCGCTCCGCGGGATCAGCTCCGACAGAAGCCAGAGATGTTTTGCTGCTGGGGTTCTTCTTAGAATGTGACAGGCGACAGGCTGCTTTCAATGGCTCCGCTCCGCTCAGGCCAGCGCGCCGCGCTCCGCGTCGGGTCCTCCGGAGGCCCCCGGCGGGCCCTTGGTGCCTTGGTGCTTTCAGGTGATGATGGCACAGTGCTGTTTGAACGCCGCTCTCCAGGTGTGCCGGGTGGTGCCCTGCAGCCCTGCAGAGACCTTCGGTGTGAGGCGACCTGACATGCGCGCATGCGCGCTTGTGGTGTTTCTGCTCAGATCTGCTCGTCGCAGGTGTGGCTTCCTCCTGCTTCTGATCGGCCGCCACCGGCTCAGAAAGATGATGCGACAGTGCCTGCAGCGGCGAGCGCATCGCGCCGCGAGGCATGGAGTGGCCCAGCTTTCCAGCAAAGGAGATGATCGAGGCCTCGGATTTGGGGAGACGCGAGGAGTTGGGCCGGTTGAGGGGGAGTTTTTGTGCAGGAGCTCGCCAGCAGCCGTCGCCCTCTCTGCCTCGTCCTGCAGGCGACTGCTTTGACTCGGAGAGTCGGCGGAGAGAGCGGCGGTTGCGCGGGGGTTGGCCGCTTCGCTTGGAGGCTCCCGCGGTGCCGGCGGCGGAACCGGCCGCAGCCTCGGAGAAGCTCCGAGAGGCCGCGGGAGCAGGAGCCGCCCCGGCCGGGGCCCCAGCGTGTCGGACCGCCTTTTGAAGAAGAAGAGCCTTTCCCCACTCTTAGCAAGGAAATCTGCAGACAAACCCATGGCTTGTGTCTCCTGGCTTTGTGGGATCCGCCCTCATGGGTTGGAGTTGGTTTGAGCCGAGCAGCAGCGGCGGGCGCGAGCACCACCTGGCACTGCTCCCGCTCCCCAAAACACAAAGCACCCCTGTTTCGGGCGCGGGGGGAGGCTTCACAATTCAAACTGACAAAGAGAGAGAGAGAGAGAGAGAGAGAGAGAGAGAGAGAGAGAGAGAGAGAGAGAGAGAGAGCGAGCGAGTGTGGTGAAGAAGTTGAAGGAAAGACAGAGAGAGAGAGCGGACATTTTGGCTCAAGTCTCTCACCCTTGTGGGAACCCGGCTGTTACCCGGGGGACTTGGTGGGAGGCCACCTGCCGCAACTTTCGGCTTCCAGGGACCTTTCAGGGGAGGTTTGCGAAAGTCCCGCCTTGAAACTGGCCCTTGGGGGTACTCACCCTTGTGGGAAACCGGCTGTTTCCCGGGGACCCTGGTGAGGAACCCAAGGTGGCCCATGAGGAGGGGCAAAGATGCTTCGTCATGGCGGAACTCGTGGTGGTCTCGCAGAGCCTCGCCCCGCTCAAGTACCTTCTCGTAGAGACGGGGGATCAGACGCTGTTCGTCCAGCACAACCCCGTGGGCACTCTCTGGGAGACGCAGCTCTACCTGCACGCTGAGAGAGGGGCAAGGCCGAGGGAACGGACGAGACTGGCAGGGACACCAAGAATGCAAAGTGCACCCAATGAGATGGAAGATGACAGCCTCCACTAAAGAGGCACAAGCCTGCCAGTACACCAACCAAGAAGCAGGCAGCCCTCATGGTGCATGGGGTCAGAACATGCCCGAGGTGCTTGACAGGCTCCGGACGAGAAAAAGGGGGCAAACACTAGAGCCACGATCGAGAGGCCGACAACTGTGTACTTAAGGGCACCAGCCTCAGGGTACAGAAGGCCGCTGAGGACGGGGCACGAGCGGACCAGCGCATCCTTGCTCGTGTTCGTACCCGGAGTATCACAACGGAAGGACCAAGAGCTACAGCCACGAAGACTAAGGCCAAGCCGCCTAGGACACACGGGACATCCAGGCCTCTCTCAACAAGGACCCGCAGAACGAGCACCCCACCGAGTACTCCGAAAACCAGCCAACAAAGAAGAGAACATCCCGCTCCACAGCCCGGACCAACTCGCCTTCTACCTGGCAGTGGACTACCGAGGACAAGGCCACGACCATCGGCATCCTTGGGGGCACCGCGTACACCGCCACCAGAGCAAACATGTGATGACCATGCGACAAAGGGGAAAAGGGACGCAGAAACCGATGCGGCACTCAATGACATCTTGAATTGGGAGCCGCCCGCAAACACAGGCAGAAGCACCCTCGAGGACGACAGGAAACATGCGAGGTACCGACCCCGTCCGAGCTGGAGCCGCACGAGCCTTGGGAGTCTTTGCCGCTATGGGGGGCACTCGACAAGAAGACCCAGCAGCGGCTCGCCAGCACACCAGGGCCCTTCACCCCATCAACCCGGAGTTTGAATGGATGGGAAGGACCAGGAGCACCAACAACTAGGACCAGGTCGTCGAGACACCAGCACCCAAGTAGCTGAACCCAGTGCACCCCTTCGACGAAGCGGACTCGCACAACAGGTTCTGCGACTT